TGTCAGGAGAGCAGTCGGTATTCGTTTCTCCCTTTGAGGGTTGTTTCCGATTGATTGGATGGTGCTCCGACCGTATCTCTCCCGAGAGGGTAATTCTCTCCCCGCATCCCCTTCCGTATCCTCCCACATAGCTCCTGGCCGCTCTGTGCCTGCTGCAGCCACCCAGAACAGCTGTCCCGCTGTTTCTTCCATCTGTTTTCTATGCCGCCATCCAGGAAAGCAAGACCTTACTTTCCCTGCCTTTTCCAGCCTTCCCTGCCACCGTAACTCCCCTTCCCATACTCCACTGCCTCCAAAACCAGGGCCCTACCCCTTTCCGCGGCTGCCACCTTCCAGAAATTGCCTCCCTCACTGTCTCAACCATTCCAGCACCTCTACCACCCTCTGTCACTACCTAGCTACTGTCCCTACCTTTCCCATGCTGTCCTCACTGTTCCTGCAGCCCAAATCCATCACCCATGCCGTTTTTTGGTTGTTCCAGCCCCTGACGGACGTTACCACAACTCATCCATTTTATAAAAACCATACATGCTGAATCTGCCCCTTCCAACACCCAACCTTCCCATTCTCGCCATCCTCCACCGCCCTTGGGATACATTTTACTCGTGTTTGTCTATTTCTATTGTTGCATTTCCCTTTCAGTGTGAGTTGTAACCGCCTAATAGATTTTGCAATAATAATATTTGATTTCCTAATGTAGTTTGAGTTAACTCCGCTATCAACTTCTCCAATCAAGATTTACAAAAATTTAAAGTGAAGAAACTTAAGTTTTCTCCATAAAAGGTTAGATCAGTTGGTGCAACCTAGCAAGTGCCTCGAACTAATTTCTACAGGAAATTGTTAAGTGATGAACTAGCTAAATAAGCAGTTAAGAAACATGATATAACAAGGATGGAAGGTGCAATTACCTCGGTGTATTAAATCCCTGAGCCTGAAATAGTGTTTCTTCTTAATTGCATATAAAAGCAAAATGATGAGACATAATACCGGAACAAGAATTACCACTAGCAGGATGACAAGCTTTTTGCTTCTATTTGGATGCTTGAAATCTGCAAGGAAAAAATTGATAAATAATATCAGTGAAGCATAACTATAACATTAGTACGCTGCGTCATAACAGTTTAAATCCTAAAGCTTCAAATTTTGTTCCCTTTACAGAAAAGAACCTTTCACACGAATTTTTTCCCAGTTTTGAGACAACTCACAAATGAACTGTGGAACCACGATCTATTTTTGGTAATGGCATTTGTCAGAAACATAGAATATCGGAGTTATTTTTTCCGCTATCCCAGGAGCATCTAACTTTTAAGACATGCATTTTCTGAAGGCACTGCATAAGAAACCTCACATGTAATATTGCATTCTTGATAGCTAAAAAGGCCCTTACAAAGCCACCACACAAACAACAAAAAAATGCAACTATACTGTTTCAAGAGGATGAAAATAATATTCCAAAAAAAAATCCCAATAAACTTTTTAAATGAATGCCAAATAAAGAATATCGTCGGCAGCATCATCATCATTTATTAGCCTTGTCCCAACTGTTTCCGTGAATATCAAATAAAGAAAGATGGTACCCAATATTAGTGTTGATTTATGAACCAATGAAGGTCCAATGAAATTAATTCAAATTAACACCACTAGCTCTTATTCAAATACTAACTTACTGGCATCTACAGATATAGCGGATACGAGAGGACCATAGGTTCCACTTGTAGGGATGTTTGTTGTTCCTTTGCCAGCCCAATGGAACCGAATCTCCAATTTATTCTGTGTAACAATTGCATCAAACTTCTTAACAACTGCTTTGCCTGACCCATTAGCCTCAGCTTTGATATTGAAGTCTTTCAAAACAAGTTCTCCCTGTGAAAAAGCAGTATAAATGAAGAGCGAACAACTATATTTACACAAAGTATCAAAATGACTATGATTTTACGCTGTACCTGTATGTAAACATCAAATAGTCTCCTACCAGGGCTGCTATGCCCATTGTAATCAGTGATTATTATCTCCGCGAAGTGCAGCTTAACACTATAGTTGCCATTTATAAGGCAGAGTCCATAATAGCTAAGAGATAGCGGTGAAACTCGTGCATTTGCATACAATTCAGAGTCGGGCATTGAAAGCTTCTGTGTAGTTCTCGCTATAAAATTGTTATTATCACCAGAATCCAGGAAACCACCAGTGCTACTAACTGCCCAGTTTGTACCCATATAAAATGTTGAGACACCTTCAGATACATAGTTATCGGACTCAAATATCAGGTTATCACCAGTAGTCACCTGATGTCCCCCACAATTTATATTCAATGACCGCTGTTCTGGGAGAAAAGTAGAATTGTGAGATGAAACCTATCTGATACTGGAGCTAGTAGGAAAATAGTGGAAATACAAAAATAACCTTTTATTAATATATAGATCGAGTTACAACACGACATAAATAGAAAATAACAATACTAGAACATAAAACGGCACAAGCAAACACCTCTCTTGTATATTACAACGGTGGTGGAGGCAGGCTAGGTGGGTCGGGATGGCTAGTGGGAGTGGCGGCAGCAAACAAATGCTGATGGCACCAAGGAAAAGGTGCATGATCGCAGGGACAACAAGTATGAAGAGTCATAGGTGACTGGAGGAAGGCGGAGGGGTGGCTGGAAGGTGTTGGACAATAAGAGCAGCGGTAATAGGGTGAGGAACGGTCGGTTGAGAGTGCTGGGAAGGTGAAAGGATGGTTGGACAACAGTAAAACCCACAAGAAGAGAGTCGGCCGGGTGTTGGGGTGACGGAGGGGGAGGCCCATGGCTAGAGAGTAGGCAGTAGAAGACTTGGGGAAGAGAAAAGAGAAAGATACAATCACCACCTCGGAGAAGATACAGCCTCGGCAACACCACCTCCTCAGACACTGCTCACAAAGGGAAAAGAACTCGACACAAAAATCTGAAAATAAATCAACAAAAAACTGATTCTTACACAGAAAACAACAATTTATAGACTCCTACTGAGGAAAAAATAAGAAAGAAATAAAAAGGAAGGCTTCTTCATGGGAGCGATAGCCTCCATCCCGGATCGCGATAGTTCGGGATCCTGCTCCTATTTTCGCATTTCTTTCCGTATTCGCGCCTCTTCTCCAGCGGTATTCAGTGCTGCGAACCGAGTGTTGTTTTAGTGCTCCGAATTGGGCGATGTTTCTATTCCCGTAAGCGGGCGCTGTTTCAACGCCCACAACAATCTCCCAGGGTTGGGGAGCTTCGATTTCATAAGTCAAAGCTTTCGTTTCGTCGTCAGCCACCCTTGGATCCCACTGACAACTGCACTGTCTCTTGAGGCATCTGAGGGTTTTCCCCAACTTGCGAGTGAATGTCCATATTGATGTGTCCCCCTGAGGTTGTGCACCATGCCCATATTGTTGAATCTTCCTAAGTAACCCACAATCGATTCAATCAAGTGTGCAGTCAGAGTAATCTGATTCTTCTAGCATAGCGATCGCGTTGATGGCATGACGTCAGCCTGACAAACCCTTGGCTATATTCGTCTTGTATCTAGGGCGGTGTCTCGTTCCTCTCATCCGGTATCATTACTAAAGCTAATACCACTGATGAAATTTTACTGCTAAGGGCTCCTGTGATCTCGAGCTCTGTCGAGGGAGGTAGGATGATGTGCTTCTCCTCATTGGTGAAGGAATATGTGTTCCTAAATCCATCGTGCTTAAACCTACGGTCAAACTGCCACGGTCTTCCCAACAATAAAGTGGCAAGCGTTCATAGGGACCACGTCACACCAAACCTGATCCTGCAGCTGGCCTCCGATCGAAAATTCTACCAAGTATCTTTGGTCGATGCTGACCCAATTTTCCTTCTTCAGCCATGTCAGTGATTACAGTTGGGAATATCTCTGAGTCACAAGTCCTAATTTTTCTATCATCTGTGTCGATGTCACATTTTTGTTGCTTCCACAGTTGATGATTAGACTACATAGCTTTCTGTTTACTATGTAGCAGGTGTAGAAAATGTCGTGGTGAAACCACTGCGAATCCCCAGTTTCCTCAGTCTGCAAGATCCATCGAATCACAAGAGTCTCTCCTTCATCTGGGGGAAGCTAATGTACCTCACTCTATTCGTCTGCTTAATCTTCATCGCTAATCTATTCCACAAAGCCCTGATTAGTAAGTGAGACTACTCTGCTCGTGAAACCGTTGGAGGCTATTTGTCCGTAACCATGGCATTTAAAACATTTCCTGACTTGTACAGTGTTGGAGGCGTTGTTTTTCTCCTGCTTCTTCTCGCTCTGATTCAGACTATCATTCCCTTATCCGGGCTTGCTATTCTCTTTTGGGGTGCCCTTGTCGGTCGTGGTAACTGTAGCTGGTTGCTTGCTTAAAGTTTGTTGCCTAAAGGATGATTGTTTCCTACTCTGTCTCTGTTATCTCTCTACTTTCAAGACTAGTGTTTGAACTCTCCCAGCGTCCAGTATGGTTGCAGATGCAGCATATTGCTAATGAGAGGCTTCAGTTCCCCAAGATATTTGGCCACTGTATACTCTTCAGGTACTATCAGTTCGCAATTTGATTGTAAGTGATCGAACTGGGCTGTAAACTCCTCCATTGAAAGATTTCTCTGTTGCAAGCTGTGGAGTTTCATATCCTGACGATAATAGGGAACAAGGTACTTTTTCTGTATCGTCATCTTCATCTTCTCCCACTTAGTGATCTTCTCACTGACTTCTCTTTTCATCTGCTTCTGCACATTTTCCCACCATAAGGAAGCGCTCTTCTTCAACTTAATGGCGGCAAGTTTGGCCATCCTATCCTCTGGCAGCTCCTTATACTCGAAGATATGTTCAACAGTTTGGAGCCACTCAAAGAATTCATTTGGATCCATGTCTCCTTCAAAACTCAAGTAAATTTACCTTGATTACATAGTTTATGTGTCCTCCCCCTAGTATCTCCTCTTAGGGATTCTCCCTCAGAAAGGGATTCATATATCCCTCTCTAGGCCTCCTCTGATACTGGATCCCGCAACGCCGTGGTCAGTCTTTTTCATCGGTAAAAATCTCCCAATGGAAGGGATTCAGATCATCATTTCTTTCTCCCCTTCGACTCTCCAGATTCGGGTCGAAGGTAACCTCCTTCTGTGTCAACTCTTCAATCTCCACAAGTCTTTGTTGAAGACGATGGAGCTCCAATTTTATCTCTTCTCGGGTAAGCTCTGGCATGTATCTCTGAGGGGGCAAGGCTAGAGTTTAGGAATATGAAGGAAAATTTTGGTGGAGATAGGGTTTGGGGAAATCATAATAGGTGGTTGAGGGTAGGAATGAAAAATATTGATGGAGGGATACGGTGGATGTTGGAAAACCCTAGGATAGAATTAGAGTTGGGCTAGCTCTGATACAAAATGATACCAAAATTAGTAGTAAAACACTGGAAAGACAAAAATAAACTTTATTAATATATAAATTGAGTTACAACATAACACAAACGGAAAATAATGACACCAGAGCATAAAACACCACAAGCAAACTCATCTCAAGTGTATTCTAAGGGTTGTGGGGGCCGGCTAGGTTGGTCGTGATGACTAGCGGGGGTGGCGGCAACAAAAGAATACTAATGACAGCGAGGAAAAGGTGTAAATTCGCAAGGACAACAAGTATGTAGGGTCTTAGGTGACCGGTGGAAGGCAGAGGGGTGGCTAGAAGGTGTTGGACCGGTAAGGGCAGCGGTAGTGGGGTGACGAACCATCAGTTCAGAGTGTTGGGAAGGAGAGAGGATGGTTGGGAAGCAGTAAAACCTACAGGAAGGGAGTCGGTCGGGTGTTGGAATGACGGAGTGGGAGGTCATTGGCTGAAGAGTGGGGAGGAGAAAACTTGGGGAAGGTATAAGGGAATGATACAATCACCGCCTCAGAGAAGATATATTCAGGGCAACACTACCTCCTCGGATATAACCCACAAAGGATAAAAGGACCACACAGGAATCTAAAAATTAACACAAACAAAAACTGACTCTTTCACATAGAAAACAATAATTTATAGACTCCTACTGGGGAAAAAATAGAAAAAAAAACACTCCACACAAGGAAGGTAAGAAGAATCCAAAAGACGCTTCCTGGGTGCAGTAGCCTCCTTCCCAGATCGTGATGGTTCACGATCCTGCTCCTATTTTTTCGTTTCTTCTCATCTTCGCACGGCTTCTCCCACGGTATTCATCACCCTAGACCAGGAGCTATTTTAACGCCCCGGACCGGGCGCTAGTTCACGATCCTGCTCCTATTTTTTCGTTTCTTCTCCTCTTCGCACGGCTTCTCCCACGATATTCATCACCCCAGGCCAGGAGCTATTTTAACGCCCCGGACCGGGCGCTATTTGAGCACCCGCATCACTATCAATTTGAGTAGAAATGATTAGTGATGCCAATGAACTTAGATGGACAAAACAGATAATTGTATTTTAAAAAATGAACAACTTGCTTCATGGATTATATTTGATCACTTAAAAAAAAGGAAAAGAAATTCTGCAAGTCACATAGTTTCCCATAAAACGTTAGTTGAATAGCAGTTTTTTTACTTGTATTTGGTTTGTCAAATTAAAAACTAAATTACCATACATATGAGAATAATTGTACAAACGTTAATCTCATTGGCTAGAAATATCAAACTAAATGTCTTCTAATACTTGTGCACTGCAGCAAAAATGTAATTAAGAAAGAAAGTATATTGTTGCACATTTAATGTAAGAAAAATGGCGAAAAGCATGAGGAAGAAAATAAAACAAGATGGTGCGCACTATAAGATCTTAGTTATAAAAGGTTAATTCATTTCCTCACTCAGATAAATGCTTACTTCGAGTACAAGGAATTGCATCCAAGCAAAGCAATGGTTTATTCCTAAACAAATACAACAGATAAAAAAACAAAAATTGATGATTAGAAATATTTAAAAAAATCAATCTGGTGTCTTAAAAATAGAAAATATTGAACCTCTAAGAAGTTGCACGGCTCAAGCAAACTATAGTATAAATTGCAGACAAGAAAAAACTTACATATTTTGTAATAAGTAGGAGCTTCCCAGTAAATTACTGAATAAAACACGTAGATTAGAAGCAATTATGAAATATAAATCTGACATTTAAGTTGACTTAGTGAGTGCTTACACTTTTCCCACTTGACATGTTTGAAGTTGAATATCCAATGTGAAATTATTATAAGAAAGATCACTGCAAATGATGTTACATAAGAGCTCCAATAGTACATGGAAAATAAACTCAAAACAAATTATAATGAACGTTCATTTAAGAAACAAAAAAATTCAGCTGTAATACAAAAAGAAATAATTATTTGACACGAGAAGGCTAGTAGTGGTATTTTGATGTCACGGGAGGCTTTCATAATAAGAACCTTATCGTAAATTTAGTTGGGCTGGTCATCCGCTATCATGAAAAGAACGGCATGAAAAAGCATGTCTAGTTGATAGTTCAAGGATGTTTCCACTTCACCATTTTTCTCCTACTTGAAGTGAGTGCTAATAACAGCAGACATTTTAGTGTCTGCACGTACAAAACATATTCTTGATAGTTTGTGATCAATTGTCATCCAAAATTGAACAGAAAAAGATAAGAAAAAAAAATCATATTTATCACTCCCAACTTTTCTACAATTCTACGCTTCGGTAGACAAACATGCATTGAGATCATTTAGTCCATTTCCATTAGTAACCGCTTATAAGTCCTGACATACAGAAAAAAAAGCATGAAAAATACACATATATTTCTAATGTATTTTTATGTTGGGTCTCATGCTAATTTAGCTTTGGAGTACCTAGTCTTTTTCTCATATATGACCACTAGGGGTCAAAATGAACCAATAATAAATATATAAGTTTATGACGGCTTGGGTTGCATTCCAATTGCTTGTTGTGAGTGCATCATCTGCTCATATGGTTAGTTCCAAGAGTCTTCACCATCTTTTAAAGATTGGTTTCAAGGCCTCAAGAGTTCTCCCCAAAGTTTGTGTTAGTTTTATCTCTCTCCTTACAGCTATAAAACTAACAAAAGACCACTTCACAACACCACCAGAAGTCTGAATTAGTGGATAAGGCGCAACCACCAAACCAAAAAGGATTTATGAACAAACAACAAGCTGACCCCAAGCCCATGCGTGCAGTGAATCTAACCCTCCCATGATTTAATCACCGCCAAGCCCATGCGTGCAGTGAATCTAACCCTCCCATTATTTAATCACCGAACAAGACCAAATGCAGGTTCATAATTCATTCATCTACCGTAGATAGCCAAAGGCAACCTTTCAAATCCCCTTAACGATCCATAATCATTTTCAATTCGAACAAAGAAAAGGTTGAATACCATTGTTATTTTGTCCATGTCCTCTAGTGCATATATTGCATATATACATACACAAATACACTACAGCATTTAGTCACATATTAAAAGACGTAATGATACCGGAGGAAGCCCAAAGCACAACAGAAATAATAATATTATTGTTGAATTTCAAAGATTATAACAGGACTCGTCGAAAAAGGAAATAAACGACAATAAAACAACAACACAAATATAAAAATACAACACAAACTCCAATAAAGGTTGCAGAAAGATAAAATGTCTCTTCAAGGTCGAGCTACCGCCAGAGCACCACCCGAACCCTTGGAGATGGTCACCACCTCGAACGAGTTACAGCCGGAGCACCTTCTCGCAGTCAGATACAACCTCTGAAGGGGAAGAAAGTCTCAAAGACAACACTCAGAAAATTGCACTCATCCCCATTTTCATTTCCTAAGCAAAAACAATCCCTATATATAAGAGAGATTAGGACTTAGGCAATGCTTTCAATTAGGAAATAGAATACAAAGAAGGTAATATAATAGGCAAGGATTTATAATAGGGGATTTCATGAAAAATGAAAGAAATAGAAAAGTCAGGCATAAAATAGGCAGGAAATAAAATAGGAGAATAATAGAAAATGTAATGAAGAGAGAGGGAAATGAAAAAGGAAAAGGGAGGAAATTTAGGAAATTTAAGCCGTGATACTGTAGCAGCTACTATAACGAGTTCGCGACACTGTAGCTGCTACAGTTTCACGCCCTTGAAAAAGCTCTCGCGTCAATCTCCCAGGGTTGAGAAAGTTTCAACCTCATTCATCAAAAGCTTTTAGGGCAGAAAAATTTTGGTGGGAACGGTTTGGGTAGGGGCGGATCTAGGGGGTCCTGGGATAGTAGTAGGGTTGGGTCAACTCTGATACCAAATAATACCGGAGGAAACCCAAACCAAAATGGAAACAATAATATTATTGCTAAATTTCAAAGATTACAACAGGATTCTTCAAAACAGTAAATAAACGACAACAAAATAATAATACAAATATAAAGACACAACACAAACTCCAATAAGGGTTGAAGAAAGATAAAATGTCACTTCAGGGTCGAGCAACAGTCAGAGCATCATCCGAACCCTTGGAGACGATCACCACCTCGAACGAGTTACAGCCGGATCACTTTCTTGTCGTGGATACAACCCCCAGAGGAGAAGAATGCCTCAAAGACAACACTCAGAAATCTGCACTCATCCCCATTCTTCTTTCCTAAGCAAAAACAACCCCTATATATAAGAGAAATTACGACTTATATTAAGCAATGATTTCAATTAAGAAATATAATCAAAATAAAGTAATATAATTGGTAAGGATTTATATAAAGGGATTTCATGAAAAATGAAAGAAATAGAAAAGGCAGGCATAAAATATGTGGGAAATAAAATAAGAGAATCATAAAAAAGATAAGGAAGAGAGAGGGAAACAATAAAGGAAAAGAGAGAAAATTTAGGCAGTGGTACTGTAGCAGCTACAGTACTGTGTACGCGACACTTTAGTCGCTATAGCTTCTTGACCCTGAAAAAAGCTCCCGCATCAATCTCCCGGGGTTGGGGAAGCTTCAACCTCATTCGTAGGAGCTTTTAGGGTAGAAAAAATTTGGTGGGGGTGGTTTGGGTAGGGGCGGATCTAGGGAACTATAGGATAGGACTAGAATTAAGTTGGCTCTGATACCAAATGATACCGGAGCATACCCAAACGAAAACAGAAATAATAATATTATTGTTGAATTTCGAAGATTACAACACGACTCGTCAAAACAAGAAATAAACGACAATAAAACAACACAAACATAAAAAACACAACACAAACTCCAATAAGAGTTGCAAAAAAATAGAATGCCTCTTCGAGGTCGAGCAACAACTGGAGTACCACCTGAACCTTTGGAGACGGTCACCACCTTGAACGAGTTACAGCCAGAGTACTTTCTCACTGTCGGATACAACCCTCAGAGAGGAAGAATGTCTCAAAGACAATACTCAGAAATCTGCACTCATCCCCATTCTCTTTTCCAAAGCAAAAACATCCCCTATATATAAGAGGGATTATGACTTATATTAGGCAATGCTTTCAATTAGGAAATAGAATAAACATGAAGTAATATAATATGCAAGGATTTGTAATAGGGGATTTCATGGAAAATAAAAGAAATATAAAATGCAGGCATAAAATAGGTAGGAAATAAAATAGGAGAACCATTGAAAATGAAAGGAAGAGAGATGAAAACGAAAAAAGAAAAGGGGAGTAAATTTGGGTCACAGTACTGTATTAGCTACAGTACCGCGTCTGTAGCACTGTAGTTGCTAAAGTGTTGTGACCCGGAAAAAGCACCCGAGTCACATAATTAAACGTTAGTTTGTTTAATATGTAAAATTTTAAGTTAAATAGGCGTTTTAGATGAACTTAAAAGGTTCAAATTGATAGAGCTCACTGCTTGATCTATGAATTTTGTGTATGGCTAAATGACAAATATGATGAAAATGACAAAGTGATTGGGGAAAACCTAGAAATAACATTGATTTGTTATATAATCTGTTCAGACAATCAAATGTGACATATGTACATGCGCCATATGTTTAAGGATTGCACAAAAAAATTACACTTATGAAAGAAAAGTTTTGACATCAACATATTTAAAGGGAAATAGGTGGTGATCCGTGAATGCTAAAAAGCTCAGCTCTGTACATGAACATCAATGGTACTCCTAGAATGAAAATTACAATAGCAAATTCAAATATAGTACTGATATAAGGAATGATGGGGTTAAGAGAACCACACATATTATTTTTGCTCCAAAGCATCCAGTTAGGTACAGGACCAGATAGGTTATTGCTGGTAAGAAACCTACAGAGCCATCACCAGTAAATAGTATCAGAAAGGTTAACTTCAAGCCTAAAATGTACAATGGCTATAAATTACTTACATAAAATTAGTATGCTCCAGATTCTCAAATGGTTTTGAAAAACTTCCTGATAACTTGTTGTAGCTTAAATCCCTGCTAAGATATAGAAGATGAAAGATTAGCACAATGGTTCAATTCAAATATGCAACAAGTGCATGCAAAGTTTTCCTCTTTATTATATACATGAATTTATGCTACCATAACAGTAAAAGCTTTATAGGAAGAAAAAATAAAAGAAGCATAAATTTGAATGTATGGCATTTTAGTGCTGATAAGAAAAAATTTATTCTAGTAGACAGAAAAATCCTTCTACTTATTGTTACAATGTCTAGTATCGTAAATAATTGTTGGATTAGGATAAGTAACTCATCTCACTCTCTGTGCTTCAAGAAACATGAAGCCGCTAGGATTATAGACGTAAGAAGTAATGTAGTAAAAGGAGAAAGGCGGGCTTTTATTTTGAGGGATTGAAAAGGGCTATTGTTTTTTATGGTGTATAAAGGTTGTAAGGAAACTATAAGAAGTTACTATGGGTGAAGATAACTGTGAAAAGGTGAATTATATAGAATGGTCTAGAGGTTATACAAGAAGGTTTGGATTTACTTGCAAGGAAATCATAATGCTGATTAATGGGGCTTAGGATAGGGTGAGGTTTGCCTATAATGAGCTTAGCATTTGATGAGGCGAAAGAAATGAAGGACTAGGTTTATTAATGACAAAAGGTTTGATGCATGAATTGATTGCCCTTCTACAAAGGGTTATCCTAATTATATAAGAATAAATAAATAATATACAAGATAATGCTCGAGTGATTTGCTCAATTAGATTTGTTCCGGGATGGAAGAAAATAATTATACACCTAATATATCTATGTGTGTGTGTAAAAGTGATGAAGAGGCAAGGCGAAAAACTCTAGACTATTTTGGGGAGCTCACAAAGAAATAAAATTCTTTTGCATAGAGGGAAAGAATTAAGTTGAGAATTTCCAAAATACAAGGATGAAAATGAGAGAGAAAATTAAAAAAAAAAAACACAATAAATACCGATATAATACAAGATAAATTCAACCTCATCAAAGAAAGTAGGAGAGAAGAGCCACCATGTCAATCTCATTTAAAAGAAAAAAACACCAAGAAAAATCCAAATATAGAAAGTCTAAAATGTATTTTCAAACAGTCACTATAACCAAAAGTCCGTACCAAGACACATGAACAAAGATGAAATAAACAAGTCACATCCAAGTGGGAGGCCATTGGCCACAACACTAATGAGAGGGGATCGAATTTGTCCATGCATGAATCTCCTTAAAAGCTTAAAAGATACTTTATACTTCATCCATGTAACAAAGAAGGTGAATCATCACCAAAAATAGAAGCTAAATGAAAGAAGAGGTTGAACATTGATGATGTGGGTGCTAGACAACCCTAGTTCTATTCTAGGGTTTTCTAGCACCCACCTTACCGCTTCACCAAAATTTTACATTCCTACCCTCAACCATCTCTTCTGATTTCCCCAAACCCTATCTCTACCAAAATTTTCCTTCCTATGGCTAAACCCTAGCCATGCCCCCCTCGGAGATACAAGCACTAGCCTACCTTGGAAGAGATAAAGTGGGAGCTCCATCGTCTCCAACAAAAACTTGCAGACATTGAAGAGTTAACACAGGAGGAGGTTCTCTTCAACCTGAATTTGAAGAGTCGAAGGGGAGAAGAGAATGATGATTTGAATCCTTTCCATTGGGATACTTTCAACGATGAAGAAGACAAACCACGGTGTTTCGGGATCCAGTATCAGAGGAGGCCTAGAGATGGATATCTGAATCCCTCCCTGAGGGAGAATCCCCGAGAAAAGATACCATTGAGAGGACATAAAGACTACGGAATCAAAGTAGATTTACCTGAATTTGAAGGAGGCATGGATCCGAATGAGCGGATCTTTGAGTATAAGAAGGTGTAAAAGGATAGGCAGGTCAAACTAGCCACCATTAAACTGAAGAAGAGTGCTTCCCTATGGTGGGTAAATGTGCGGAAGCAGATGAAAAAAGAAGGCAGTGAGAGGATCACTAAGTAGAAGAAGATGAATAAGGCAATAAAGAAAAAGTGTTTTACACCCCATTGTCGTCAGGATTTGTTTCTGAAACTCCACAACTTACACCAAAATGATCTTTCAGTGGAGGAGTTCACAACTTATTTCGATCACTTGCAACTAAGGTGCAAATTGGTAGAGCAAGAAGAGCATACAGTAGACATATTTTGGGGGACTGAAGCCAGCCATTAGCTATGTGGTGCAACTGCAACCTTATTGGACGCTAGGAAATGTCCAAACACTAGCCTTGAAGGCAGAGAAACAATAAAGGCAGCAGTCATCCTTTAAGCAACAACCTTCAGGAAAGCAGCCGCTTATAGTTACCACAACTAACAAGGGCACCCCAGGAAAGGCTAGCAAGTCCGGATATGGGAATGACAGTCTAAATCAGAGCGAGAAGAAGCAGGAGAAAAAAAATGCCTCCAATGTTGTTCTGGTCTGGAAATGTTTCAAATGCTATGGTTACAAACAAATAACCTCCAGTTGTCCCACGAGCAGAGTAGCCTCACTTACTGATTGGGGCACTGTAGAAAAGATTAGCGGTGCAGAGAAAGTTGTGGAACGGGGTGAGATGTATCAGCTTCCCTCAGATAAGGATGCGTGTCACCTTATGTTGGGAAAACCGTGCAGTTTGACCGCAAGACTAAGCAAGATGGAATCAGGAACACATATTCCTTCACCAAGGATAGGAAACACATCATCCTACTTCCCTCGACAGAGCCCGAGATTACAGGAGCCCTTACCAACAGAATAGCATCAATGGGACATGTTTTAGTAATGACACCGAATTAGAGGAACGAGACACCAGCCTCATATACAAGCAGATATGACCGAGGGTATGCCAGGTCGACGCCATGCCATAGGCACCATCGCCATGCTGGAAGAATTAGATTACTCTCATTGCACGCTCGATTGAACTGAGCGTGGTTTACTTTAAAAAGATTCAGCAATATAGGTGTGGTGCACAGCCTCAGAAGGAAAAACACATCGATATGGACATTCACTCGCAAGTTGGGAAATACCCTCAGATGCCTTGGGAGACAGTGTAGTCAACAGTGGGATTCGGGAGTGGCTAACAACAAAACAAAAGCTTCAACCTATGAAGTCGAAGCTCCCCCACTAAACAGCCCCTGGTTCAAGGCGCTAAAATAGCGAATGGTCTGAGGCGCTAAAATAGCGAATGGTCCGAGGCGCTAAAATAACACTTGATTGCGGGTGCTAAAATAGCGTCCGGTTTGGGGCGTTGAATACGCGGGAGAAGTTGCAGGAAGACGGGAAGAAACACGAAATAGGAGCAGGATCGCGAACTATCGCAATTTGGGAAGGAGGCTACCACACCCAACAAGCCTTTTTTGGATTCTTCTTGCCTTCCTTTTATGTGGAGTTTTCTTTTTATTTATTTCCTATTTTTTTCCCCCAGTAGGAGTCTATAAATTTTTTTTTTTTGTGTAAGAGCTAGTTTTGGTTATGCATATTTTCATTTTCCTGTATAAAGTCCTTTTCCCCTTCGTGGTTTGTATCTAAGGAGGTGGTGGTGCTCCGGTTATATCCTCTCTGAGGTGATTGTATCATTCCCTTTCACCTTCCCCAAGCCTTCTCCTCCCCACTCTCTAGACACCGGACTTCTCCTGTCACCCCAACACCCCGTCGACTCCCTTCCAACAGGTTTTATTGTTCTCCAGCCATCCTCCCCCTTCCCAGCACTCCCAACCAATTCCTCACCCCACTACCGCTGCCCTTACTATTTAGCACCTTCCAGCCACCTCTCCGTCTTCCATCGGCCACCTACAACCCTCTATACTTGTTGTCCTCATGATTCTACACCTCTCCCTTGTTGCCATCAGTCTTCTTTTACTGTTGTCATCCCCGCTAGCCATCCTGACCCATATAGCCGACCTCCACCACCCTTGGGATAACTTGAGAGGTGTCTTCTTGTGTCGTTTTATGTTCAAGTGTCATTGTTTTTTGTTTGTGTCGTGTTGTAACTCAATCTATATATTAATAAAAGTTTTTTTTCATGTTTCCACCGTTTTCCTACTAGTTCTGGAATCATTGACTTGTAAACATGTGGCAAAGTTGAGGTTGAAACATGACTTTAGTTTGTTTAGATGAACTAGAATTAGCTATTTTGTTTTTCATGTTTCCACCGTTTTCCTACTAGTTCTGGCATCATTGACTAGTAAACATGTGGCAAAGTTGAGGTTGAAACATGACATTAGTTTGTTTAGATGAACTAGAACTTGCTATTTTTCTTAGCCACCCTTTTGCATGATTACATGATAAATTATTGCATCCTCTAACAAGTCATATTAGATTAATAAAATCAATTTGCAATCATTCCAAAAAACCCAAAATAATATAGAAATATTCGTAAAATATGTTGCATCAATTGTGAGATTAGGGGATATGAATAAAATCAAGAAAATTGTGCAAAGCTCAAAATCAACTAGAACTAGCAAAGCAGACGTCTTGGTTTGGATTTAGGGTAGATTAAATACATGCTTCAAGATTAGTTTGAAATATTTTTGAACTATTACAAGTAATTCACTTTTATTTCCTTTATTAATTATGTACTTAGTCAGTATAAATAGAAATAAATAGAATTATTCTGTCTTTAAGATTATTCTAATTATAAGTTATCTAAATTTCTATCCACATTAAACTTGACTTAGTTTAAATTATTCATGCAAGCTTATTTCTATAAATAGGAATATTAATACATTGTAAATTCTTAACCTATTATGAAATGAATTTTGAATAAAATACCCTCTTTTCATCTCTTGTTTTCCCTCCACTCTTTTATATGAATTCCAATCTCTCCTCATGAATTTCTCAAGTTGCAAATCCCAATGAACCAATGCTTCCCTCTCGAAATCCCTATTAGCAGTCAAAATTCCATCAGTTTCTCTTACTAGCTTTGTCCCTCTAAATACCTATATCATCCCTGTACATTAAAGGTGAATTCAAGTAAGTAATGTTCATTCAAATGGATGTGATCAGATTCAATTTGA